GGTGCTTAGGCGAAGCCCTGCGACGGTAGTACATCAAGATCGTCACCACGCCGTCGTGCTGACGGAACTCTTCCCCGACACTTTGCTGGATCGGAGTCCGGGGATCGTCATCGAGCTGAACGTGTGCTAGAACTCGGAGGTGCCGTAGTTTCGGTGCTTGATCGGTCGGGCCGTGAAGACGTACGACTACATCAACCGCGTTGTGCTAACGCTTCCGCTGTCGGTCTACAAGGGTACGTAGATCACACTCTCCCCTCTCGTTGCTATGCATCACCATGATCTTGCGTGTGCGTAGGAAATTTTTTGAAATTACTACGTTCCCCAACAGGTAGTTACACACTGCTAGAAATGTCTTCGGGCCTCCGAGGGGCGAGGTATTTTTGGTAGGGGAGCAAGTGATATGGAGGGATTAGAGTATCTCCAACAGATGATGTATTATAGGGATCTCGAAAAAAAACCAGGACACCAAAAAATGGTTTTTGGGGCATAAGATTGATTTTTTTTTGCCATAGCATAGGATGTAAAATAGGCACCAGACCATTTTCTGTCGTAGCAGATGCACCATAATAAACATGATCATTGCATATATTCAACAATTTGAACAACCAAATGTTCAAACGTAAACATGACTTTAAACTCAGTCATGGTAGACTCACTATGAAAGTATTGTGATGGGCTCACTACTAAACACACACTACACGTCATCATCCTCGTGGATCGGGCTGCGGGGCGGTGCGACGGTGGCCGTGGTGGTTGAATTCGACAACAACGCCGACAAGTCAGTGGAAGCGGATGCGGTGTAGAAGGAGGAGTTTCATACTGTTGTTGGGCTGCGTGGCTACGGTTTTTGTTTTGTGGCAGCCGTGTGGCTATGGTATATTGGCAACACGAGAGGTTGAGATATACGGATCTCCTAAATCAAGAACATCTGTCGAAGCGTCGTTTTTGAATTTATATGCCCTAGAACACAGTTTTTCTATAGCTACTTTATTATACATCATCTGATGGAGATGCTCTTAACGGAGAGAATTGATTTATGCGGTTGAGATGTTTGAATCCGTCCGCTTTGCTTCTTTTATAGGAGTACTCCATATGGCTAGATAGATTCGATATCTTGTTCTATACAAAACGTGGTCAATCATATAGGAGTTTGACTATTTTTTGTTTATAATACTTGCATCTTATATGTTTGAAGAGTATCAAGATAGGATCAGACCAAACAAGGGGCAGGTGATTTTATTGGGAAACAGAGCAGGTCAACGATATGCTGGCATGATTACCAGATCGGGTCAGGAGAAAGTGGGAATGGATCCAACAAGAACGGAAAATTAACCGGAGAGAACACTCGAAATGGAGAAAGAGCCGCAAACATGCAGCGACACTCTGGACGGAAATATGAAAACCGAAAGAGATGACATAAACCTAACATCAAGGTGTGAAACTGTTGTTCACTCATTTTCCAATAAAAAGTGATTAGCTCATTTAAAAAAACTGATTTTACTCAATATAGAATACTGACTCAGTTTGGTAAAATAATATTACTCATTTTGAACCAGCTTCACATATATTGGTTCATTTCACATATTTCAATCTTTTTGTTATATTTTAAAAAATATCATATTCACACACCAAAGTACTCAGTTTCACAAAGAAAAAGAAATTTACAAACAGAGAGTGAAATATGTAAAAGAAATTTACAAACAGAGAGTGAAATATGTGGATCGAAACGTTAAAATTTAAATGTGTTTGAACTTTGAAATGTATCAAGGATTGGTTTTAAAGGTCTTGCTGCCAGGAGTTCAAATGTATATGAAGTTTCAAGAAAATATTACAATTTAAGGGATATGAATGATTGAAACTGTCAAAGAGAAATTTAAAGATTAATTTGTTGGATGAGAAATAAGAGAAAGAGATAATGTTTTGTACCTAAGTTAGAGAGAGAGAGAGAGAGAGAGAGAGAGAGAGAGAGAGAGAGAGATGAGGCCCACTGGTGGAGCTTGAGCCAAAAACATGGGAGGGGGGCCATGGGCTTGAGGAGGGCAAACATAGTTGTTTAGAGCTGCTTTTTAGTGAAAATAGGCCTAATACTAAGGGATATAGGCTTGTTTTCTTCTGAGCTGGGGCCATGGCCCAGGTTGGCCCCCATGAAGCTCTGCCACTGATGAGGCCCATGCACTCCATGGAATATTTGGACACGAGCACAAATGGACCTAGATGAACCGTAAATTCAAAACAAATAGTAAAAAATAAATAGAATTTTTGTGGCAAACATTGACAAAAGTTTGATTGCTTGCAAAATTTTATAATGGAATGACATTCGTGAAGTCATGGCAAAAAAAAATGCTCCAAAAGTGCTATTTTCAAAAGCACTTTGGAGTGTTGGTTTTGTTTTGTCACGAGTTCCATGAATGTCAATTCTTAATGAAACTTTGCAACTATTCAAAATATTTGCCAATGTTTGCGACCAAAAATTTGAGATTTTTAAAATTTTTGTTCTAATTTTTTTCTTCAGAATTACTGCTAATGCTAAGCTCATATGAGCTCAAGATTTTCCAGAACATGCATGCATCCTTTCTCTGGACATGGTGGGACCTAGGAAAGAAAAATAACAAGATGCAAAATTAGGAACGGATTCGAATTAAGTAGAGGGCTAGAATACTTTACGGGGTGTCTTCACCTTATTGGCTCTTGGGATGCCGGTAGCTACGCACTGCTAGAAATGTCTTCGGGCCTCCGAGGGGCGAGGTATTTTTGGTAGGGGAGCAAGTGATATGGAGGGATTAGAGCATCTCCAACAGATGATGTATTATAGGGATCTTGAAAAAAAAACCAGGACACCAAAAATGGGTTTTGGGGCATAAGATTGATTTTTTTTTGCCATAGCATAGGATGTAAAATAGGCACCAGACCATTTTCTGCCGTAGCAGATGCACCATAATTAACATGATCATTGCATATATTCAACAATTTGAACAACCAAATGTTCAAACGTAAACATGACTTTAAACTCAATCATGGTAGACTCACTATGAAAGTATTGTGATGGGCTCACTACTAAACACACACTACACGTCATCATCCTCGTGGATCAGACCAAACAAGGGGCAGGTGTTTTTATTGGGAAACACAGCAGGTCAACGATATGCTGGCATGATTACCAGATCGGGTCAGGAGAAAGGGGAATGGATCCAACAAGAACGGAAAATTAACCGGAGAGAAAACTCGAAACGGAGAAAGAGCCGCAAACATGCAGCCACGCTCTGGACGGGAACACTCACACTCCTATCTGCAACTTCATCTCCATATTCAGATAGAGCTGCTCTCCGTGTTCGCCAATTTTACGTACTCGCGCCATTGATCATCTCCTCGGAGAGCCTCCCCAATGCGGAGTAGGAGGACCCTCCCTCGGCGACGGCCTTCCTGCACGCGCCCTTCATCGCCATGGCCTTCCCCCTCACCCTCCTCCCCTCGTCGGAGCCGCCGTCCATGAGCGCCCTCACGGCCCGCTCCAGCTCCGCCGCGTCGACCCAGTTGCTCCTCTTCCGGTCCACCTCCATGGCCAGCGCCACGCCCATGTATTCGACCAGCGTGAACGCGTTCAGGTGCTGCTCGGCGTACCGCGGCCAGGGCACCATCGGCACCCCGAACCACAGGGCCTCCAGCGTCGAGTTCCACCCGCCGTGCGTCACGAAGCCCCCCACGGCGGCGTGCGCCAGTATCTCCTTCTGCGGCGCCCTCGTCGGCCACACCATGCCCTTCCCCTTGGTCCGCTCCAGGAACCCCTCCGGGAGCAGCTCCTCCAGGTCCGCGTCCGAGGGCCCCCGGCCGCCGCTCGCCGGCGGGCCGCGGAGGACCCACAGGAAGCGGTGCCCGCTGCGCTCCAGTCCGCGGGCTACCTCGTGCGCCTGCGGCGCGGCCGAGAACCCCCCGCTGCCGAAGCAGAGGAGCACCACCGACGCCGGAGGCTGCGCGTCCAGCCACACCACGCACTCGTGCGGTTGTTCTGCTGGCGGGCTCAGGGAGAGCACGGGGCCTACTGGGTAGACCGTCGGGGCGGGGACTCCGCGCGTGCACCGGCCGTCGGCGATGGCGGCGAGGACGCTCGCCTCCAGCTCGGCCGCCGTGTTGATGATGACGCCCTTGGCCTCCGTGAAGCGCCTGCCGTGGTACACGAACCACGCGTAGTTCGGGTGCTTCTTGTCCATCACCGGCGACGGGAGGGCTGACGGCGGCACGGGCGGCAGCCCGGGCACGTCGACCGTGCCTTCCATCTCCTCGAACTCGACGGCCACCTCCTGATCAAGCGCCGGCAGGCGCAGGAAGAGCGCGTACATGGCGGCGCTGGCGGTGAAGTAGACGTAGGCCGGCACGCCGAGCTCGCGGGACACGTCGAGCATCGTGGTGCCGAAGAAGTCGACGACCAGCGCCGCCACCGGGCACGCCAGGCCGGAGACGGCCGCCCTCACGTGCGCCGCGTGGAGCTGCACGAATCGGGAGACGAACTCCTCGACGCCCACGTGGTCCGTCGGGGGCTCCACGGCGGGGAGGTGCTGGAAGCGGATGCCCAGGCCGGAGGCCTCCTCCCTCCGTATGTGGCCGGCGACCTCGGACCGGTAGCTCTCCGTCGGCGCCTGCATTACGAGCACCGTGAGCGACAGGGCGCCGCCGCTGCGGGCCACCAGCCGCTTGCCGGCGTCGAGCATGGACATGAGATGGCCGACGCCCCAGACGGGCAGCAGCACGACGGTCGGGGTTGCCATTGGCACGGTGGCGATCGGCGGATGATGCTCGATCCTACTACTTGACTGGCATCAAATGTGGGAGGAGGTTGGGCCAAATGAGGGAATGATACGGTGGATATTGTATTTTATGAAGAGAAGATGCGGCGGATTTCCTTTTATTTTTCTGATGAATAGGTGCGGTGGCAAACGTGTGGGCATGTCATATCCGTGGTCGGTACAAGATCGCACTAAAATGGGCTGGACAATCGCCAGCGGCCGTTGCCGGGCCACGTGGTGGGATCGCCGCGTGGGACTGGTGGTAGCACAAAAAAGAAGAATCCCTCAAAACACACACACACACAAAGAGAAAAAAAGTGTGTCAATCTAGGTGAGGGGGTGAGGTATAAGGGACCATGGTGGCATATGGATACATATGCCACAAAAAGTAATTTGAGCCATTTATATTAATTTTTTCTCTTCAATTCAAACTATCACTAGTGGGCCTCATTAGAAAATAGAAAATAAAAACTCTAGTACACATGCATCTCTACTTTTTACTCAAACTTTTTCAGTTTTTGTCATCGGACCACACTTTTTTTTCAAGCACCCGTCTCCTAGAGAGGACCCCGCTTCCCTATCCGAACCTACTTTACGTCATATCCGATCCTACATGGCATGCGATGCATCACCTTAAGGCTATGCATTGTACATGCCCTAACAATGATTCACCTACTTTTTTTTATTACCCATGTATTGAATGATGTAACTCTGCCATTTTCACAACTAGTCAATGTGTACGTGCAATGCACGCTAATTTGGAAGTATATCAAGTGCATGTGGATATTAAGTAGGATATTATTTGCATGTTATTATGTAATTAGCATTATATTTGTCATGAAATTAAATGCACACTAAACATGTTGAGCGTTCGACATTGAAGCAGTCTAGGTCGCTAGATTGACATGATTTGATGGCTCAGATTAATTGGATCTGCCTCTTTGAATCTTTTTATATTGACTAGTAATAATGTACGTGCAATGCACGCTTATATTAGATAAAATGTTAGTTGCACGTTATATTAGGTAAGATATATCTGTTGCATGTTGGTATTTGATAAGATATCAATTACTTTTTGTATGGAAATGATAGGATATTAATTACATGGCAGATTTCAAGGGATAGCGTTAAGTCAAAACGTGTTTATAACCAATGGCAGTTGTGAGTAATTATAGCGTTAAACGTGTTTGGTGCTCAACATTGAAGCGATTTGAACCGCTAGATAACATGATTTGACGGTTGAGATGGTTTGAATCTGCTTATTTGGTTTTTTTTATATTGGTATAGATGATGATATAGATAAAGTGCCAAGTGGCTTTTCCCTTAAAAAAGGTCCGAAGGGGTGACGCATAACGTGACTACAAACACGATGTCAGTGGATTGAGAAATATCCATGCGCAAATTTTACAAAATCGTGGTATCTTTTTGATGAAATGCCATAATTCCACTCCATGCAGCCATGCTAGGACCTTCCTCCCTCTTGAATTATTTTTCTGACATTTGTGCAGATACGGATGTATCTAAACCAATACGTTTTAATGTTAGAGATACATTAGTATTTAGATAAATTTAAGACAAGTAATCTGAGACGGAGGTAATATTGCTTTGCACAAAAGATATGAAACTTTTGTTATAGATACCCCGGTTGAGATTCTTTCACTTAAGTCACTGATATGATGTGTTAGCCGACTTGACTTACATGAGAGGGTCTTCGCACTATTTTCTTCATGTATCTTTATAATTTTTGAATTAATTGAGAATATATGGTATGTTCATATGAACTAGTATGTAGATAGCATCATCACGGTCCACGTTGCCATACATGTCAATGCACGCACCCCTGGTGCGCGTACTATGAATATGGCACTTCAAACCTCGAGAAGGCAATGGCCTTCCAGATATTGACCACGTGAGTACTTGTCTGAATTCTGCGCACTCGAGAGCCTTGA